TTTTCCTTTTCAGACTTGTTGTACAGAATGATATTATTTTTCCTCTTTTCTCTTTCATTAATAACATCCATGTTAGTTGATGTGGCCTGAATTGACTCCTTCATCATTTTTACATTAGATGAGAGCAAATTAACCCCACCCCTCACAACATCAGAATATTTCATCAACGTTTGTTCATTTTGCACAACAGTAGCTTTAGTTAACTTTTCATAGCACTCAAGCTGTTTTATAGAAGCCTGAGAAGAGTCTTTAATATTTTTTGGTCGAGGTCGCTTTCATTTGTCCTCATCTCCAAAGAGGTGTCTTTCGGCTTCTTTTTAGTACCAATTTAATTATTAAATGTTTAAATAAATTTTTATTTAAAAACACTAGTTAAGAAATAAATAATTTAGAATAAATGATTTTTCGACTTTCAAGAGCGATATTATCAGAAACGTAAACCAAAGATCTTGTTGGCGAGATTTTCCTTCTAACAATTGCCCAAAACGCTTATATACTAAAATTCTAAACAAACTGAGAAAACATTAATAATTCTCAAACATATTCACTATTTTATTAATGCCATATTCTACCAACCTGCACACAAAACCAATTCATAACACATTCGACCAACCTGCCCACCTGACCACTTCATACAACATGCGCGCCAACATACACACTTGCGCCATTCATTCCACATGCACGCCAAAAAAAACTTCACAACATCCCCCACCCCATCGAACGTCGTCCCGACGCTTGCTTTCAAAGCTCTTCGTTGAAGTTGGGGATGTTAATCGCCATTAATTCCGGGCCCCATCTGGACTGTCTCTTTTTTCTCTTTTTATCTGTTGGTGCAAATGTGCCTGTTGTCTAGGCGAGTATGTCGCTATCTTCCTTTGCCCACTCTGGAGTGCTGATAGTCGAAACCGCCTAGCCTATAGGGAAAGGCGTCTTGCCCTCCAAAAAATCCAAAACACTAACTTAAAACACTAACTTTCCCTTTTTTCCTTCTAACAATTGTCCAAAACGCTTATATACTAAAATTTTA